GGCTATGCCGAATCTTATATAGCCACCATCAAATCACTGTTTGATATTTTGAATATTTTATTATTATATATCGATATTAATGAGAACATCAGGGTAATATTTGAAAGAGGTCCAATTCTCATAAATCAGTAGGAAGATTTCAGTCTATTTCAAATTTCATAGATCTACTTGTATTTTTAAGCCAGTAATGAGCATTAAAGTCATTTTCTTAAAGGGACCTTATACGGGGTTAGGGTTAATTATGGACCGATTCTCATAAAATATGGTAGAGAGATTTTAGCATAAAATTAGTTTATGTCGAATTGAATTGCGGTATTCGTATTTTCTCGATGTAGTCATTTTCTGAGGGGGAATTTATATGGGGTGGGGTTATAATAAACTGATCCGTATACAAATTGTTAGAGAGATTTCGGTTCCTATAGAACTTATCAGTGTAGAATTTCATCGAAGTACTCGCTCTTTTAAACCAGTAATGAGCGTTTAAATGATTTTCTGATGGGCACCTCAAATGAAGGGTAGGGTCAATTATGGAGCGATCCTCACAAAATTTTGTAGAGAGATGTTAGCTCATTCAAAACTATATCGAATTTTATCGCTTTACTCGTTTTTTAGGCCAGTAATGAGCGATAAAATAATTTTCTGTTGGGGACCTTATATGGGGATATGGTCATTTATTGCACGATCCACATAAAATTTGGTGGAAAGGTTTTGGCTCCTAAGATACTTATTTATGTCAAATTTCTTCGCTATACTCGTATTTTTACGCCAAAATTAAACTATTTTCTGAAGGGCGGGTAGGGCCACTTATGGACCGATCCACATAAAATTTGGTAGAGAGATTTTGGCTCATATCAAACTTACTTCAGTGAAATTTCATCGCTATACTCGTATTTTTAAGCCAGTAATGAGCGCTAAAGTAATTTTATGGAGGGGACCTTATATGGTGGGTAGGGTCAATTATGGACCGATCCACATAAAATTTGCTGGAAAGGTTGTGGCTCCTAAGATACTTACTTATGTCAAATTTCTTCGCTATACTTGTATTTTTACGCCAAAATTAAACTATTTTCTGAAGGGCGGGTAGGTCCACTTATGGACCGATCCACATAAAATTTGGTAGAGAGATTTTGGCTCATATCAATCTTACTTATGCCAAATTTTATCGCTATACTCTTATTTTTACGCCAATAATGAGCGTTAAAGTCATTTTCTGAAAGGGACCTTATATGGGGGGTAGGGTCAATTATGGACCGATCCACATAAAGTTTGAGATATTGGCTTGCATGAAACCTATGTGTGTCAAATTTCATCGCTATATTCGTATGTTTAAGCCAGTAATCAGCATTATAGTAATTTTCAAAGGGGACCTTATATGGGGGGTAGGGCCAATTGTGGTCCTATGTCCACCATAATTCAGAATTTTATTTCTTATTTATTATTTATTTCAAAAAACTGACTTATGCGAAATTTTGTGCCATTTGCTTCATAAACAACGAATTTGTGAACGTTTGAAGCTTATTACACAATATTCCGGGGGTACATTTGTATGGGGGCTATGTGAAATCGTTAACCGATTTTGCCCATTTTCAATACCGAACATTTCTGATCAATAAAAAATATTTTGGGAAAATTTCATCTCATATCTCTTTTTTGTGGTCGCTATCGAGCTAGATCGTCTTAGAATTTTACGAGGTCCCAGAATATATATACTTTATTTGAACCGTCACTTAAAGTGAGGATAAGTTATACTGGTCATAACCTTGGATTGATATTTTTCTTGTAACCAGTGTTGCCAATTTAGCACTTTTTAAACTCATTTGGAACCCAAAATGTAATCTAGCACCTAGCATCTTTTTTAGCATTTTTCAAATGTTTTTTGGCACTTTTTTTAGCACATTTTAGGATTTTTATACCCTCCACCACCATCAATTTTGATAGAGGGTATATATAAGTTTGTCGTTCCGTGTGTAACAACAAGAAATATTCATCTAAGACCCAACAAAGTATATATATTCTGGGTCCTTATGAAATTCTGAGTCCGTCTGTCTGTCTGTGTAAAACACGCTCACGTTAAAACTAAGCAAAGGGAATCAACCAAATTCACCCGAAATATTTACAAAATCAGTTCACAACGTAAAAAGTTATAAGTAAAAATTTCAGACTACCTCGAAAAAAATTACGTTTTTTTCCTAATTCTTTTGAAGTTTTCTCAGAAACTACCAAAGATATTTCAATAAATTTTGTCACACATTATTTTTTCAGGAAAGTGGTCAATTATGTTCAAAATCTTTACAATCGATCCAATATTTCCCATAGCCCCCATACAAAGGTACATATTCCCGGAAATTAGTTTATCATTAATAACTCCCTTAAATATATCGGTATCAACATAAAATTTTGTACATGCAAATATAATATGAACAGAAATCATAATATCAACGCAGATCTCAGTCGGTCCTCTCATATAAGGTCCACTTCCGAAAATGACCTAAACGCACATATTTCATTGAATTATTTCATTGATAAAATTCGAGTTGCATATGTTTCGTGTATATACAAATCATTCTACAAAATTTTTTATGGTTCGGTCCATTATTGGTCATAGCTCCTATATAAGGCCCACTTCCGAAAATAACTTAAAAGCACATATTTCATTGTCCAATAAAGCTATCTTGATAAAATTCGACACAGCTATGTTTTGTCAAAACATGAATCACTTTACGAAATTTTTTACGGATAGGACCATAATTGGTCATAGCTCCCATATAAGGTCCACTTCCGAAAATCACTCAAACGTATATATTTCATTGAATTCTAAAGCTATAGGGATAAAATTCGACTTGAATATCTTTTGTGTACGCATCGGTGTACGATCGGTCCATTATTGGCCATAGCTCCCATATAAGGCCCACTCCCGAAAATCACTTAAAAGCACATATTTCATTGTCAAATAAAGCTATCTTGATAAAATTCGACACAAATATGTTTTGTCTAAATATGAATCACTTTACGAAATTTTTCCGGATAGGCCCATAGTTGGCCATAGTTTTCATATAAGGTCCACTTCCGAAAATCACTTAAACGCATATATTTCATTGAATTCTAAAGCTGTAGGGATAAAATTCGACTTGGATATGTTTTGTGTACATATAAATCATTCTACCTCTTTTTTCCCGGATCGGTCCATTATTGGTCATAGCTCCCATATAAGGTACACTTCTGAAAGTCACTTAAACGCACATATTTCATTGTCTACTAAAGTTACCTTGAGAAAATTCGACACAAATATGTTTTGTCTTTTACCTAAACGCATATATTTCATTAATTAATAGAGCTATTGGAGTAAAATAAGACTTGATTTTTTTTCATATAAATCATTATACGAAATTATTTCGTGGTCGATCCATTTTCGAAAATTACTTAACGCACATTGACAATCAAAGTTATAGGTATAAAATGTATATACATAAATCATTGTACGGAATTTTTTCCGGACCGGTCCATAAGTTGTCTTAACTCCCATATAAGGTTAACTTCTGAAAATCACTTAATACCACTTAATTCGTTATTAAATTATTAAATCCGGATAAAATTCGACATGAGTATGTTCTGTGTATAGATACATCATTCTATTAAAATGTTTTCTATCTGGCCTATTAATATACATTTTTCTGAACCTAATCAAAATTAGTTCGACAAAAAAAAAGTTATCTAAAAATTAGATAGAACCACAAATTTTTGCATTACGCATCAACAAACTCGTTCAATGGAACGTTTCTAGAACTAATTCTTTAATCAATGATTTAAGTTCGATTTTGCTATCCTCAGATATAGTTCTAGAGAAGCTTTAGAGAACATATACACCTTCTTTAGAACTAGATCTTTTTCCAGCGATTTATGATTCAAATTGTTGAGATTGAGATAAATTTTTGGAAACCGTCAATTATAATTAAATTTTCTTGCAATAACTTCGAAGTATTTTTCTACTGGTTTGAAGTAGTTGTTTTTAAAATCTGGACTAGTATCCCAATGTAAATATTTGTAACAATGGAAATATTGAAAGAAATGATTTCATCGGAACTTTTTAATTACAACATATTTCGACAGAACTTTTTCGAGAATTAATGGCGATATTATTAGTTGCAATGTCGCAGTTCCAGAATCTGGTTGTTTACTTCCGATCTAAAAAATTCAAAAAAATTTATTGAATAAGCATTTCTAATTCCTCTAAAACTAGTTATTATAAACATTTTGTTCTGTATTAAAATCGACCCATAATAAGTGGAGTTGGTCCATTTGCGTACACAGAAAAAATTAATTTTAACAAATTTTCAATTAAACGATTAATCAAAAATTTTAAAAGGGTTCAATTCGTTTTGTATTTGATTCATAAAAATGTATAATCAAATACGTATTTAACAACAACAAAAGTAGAAAAAAAATAAAAATTTTGTGTACGAAATCAATTATAAGTACTAATTGAATATACAATTTTTGTTATAGGTTGAACTTCAAAAAATAAAATAATTGAAAACGAGGTTTTGGTAATTGAAATCGTTTTTCAGTTTTTTCTGTGTACTAAGTTAAATATCATTTATGTAGTTTATTTTAAAAATTTGAATTTAAATATTTTACAATAAAAAACCTTATTTTTGTTAGAACTTTTTCTAGCATTTTTTTCTTTATTTTTAACACTTTCTAGCATTTTTTTTTTCAAAACAATCTAGCACTTTTACGCAATTAGGTTTTGGCAACACTGCTTGTAACTCACTCGGCAAAAAGCGCAACTTTATAACTTAAAAGTCACGGCTCCAAAAAGTTAATTTTCATTTGTAACTAATTATAATACAATTATTATTTAAAAGTGAATGTCTAAGCGGGATAATCCCGCTTTTGGCGGGATGTCTGGTCACGTTGCTCATACCCCAAATATTAAATGTAATAGTTATTGGTTGAATTGATAAAAAAAATGCAACTAATATATTTTTATATATTTATAGGTCGGATTGGAACTGCTGTTGGTTGGGGAAGAACTGCGGAAGGAGGTGAACTTCCATCCATCGTTAACCAAGTTAAGGTACCTATAATGTCTATTACAGAATGCAGAAACCAAAAATACAAAAGCTCTAGAATTACGTCTACTATGCTTTGTGCTGGAAGGCCAAATATGGATTCTTGTCAAGGAGACAGTGGTGGTCCATTATTGCTTTCTAACGGAGTTAAATACTTCATTGTTGGTATTGTTTCATGGGGAGTTGGTTGTGGTAGGGAAGGCTACCCAGGAGTTTATACAAGAGTTAGTAAATTTATTCCTTGGATAAGGTCTAACTTAGAAAACACTTGTTTGTGTTCATAAATATGAAACAAGTTTGGTGTAAAATTTATTTTTAATTTATATTTTGAGTGACATTATATATTATATTATTTTTTTTTTTTTTTTGACATAACTGTTTATAAAAATAACTTATTTTGAAAATTGTATCTAAAAGAATGCATTTTGGTTTTATTTAACAAATTTTAAAGGAAATAAAATCATATCCAGTATAACCGAGGTATTACAGGCATATTAGATTTACATACATACATATGTTGAATTTTATAATCGATATTAATGAGCGCTTAAGTCAATTACGAACAAAGTTCTGCCGAATTAAAAATGTATAAATTTTAGAAAACAATAATTTTTGTCCAATTTTCATAACCATAAACTGGTTTTCTGTAAAAATGCATATTAGGAGTAGAGTCAATGCTTTTAGATTCACCGATGCTTTTAGATTCACATTTCTTTTATATAGAATTTCGTCGAATTTCACCGCTATACACGTATTTTTAAGCCAGTGATGAGAGTTAGTAATTTTCTGAAAGGGGCCTTATAGGGGGGAAGGGTCGGGTACGGATCGATCAGGGTGTTTTCGGTTAGTATAAAACTCGTTTATGTTAATTTTCATCACTGTGCCAGTAATGAGCATTAAAGTAATTTTCTGCAGCGCGCTTATATGGAGGTTAGGGTCAATTATGGACCGTTATAAAATTTGGCAGATAGATCTTCGTTCGTTTAAAATTTGTATTTGTATTTTTAAGTCAGTAATAAGCGCTAGAATAATTTTTGCAGTGCACCTTACATGGAAGATGGGGTCAATAATGGACCGATCCTCATTAAATTTGCTAAAGGGATTTTCGTTCCCATTCAACTGGTTTATGTCGAATTTCATTGCTGTACTCATATTTTTAAGACTGTAATGAGCGTTAAAGTTATTTTTTGAAGGAGACCTTCACTCTTATAAAGTTTTGTTTAAATTTACACTATTTATTGTAGGTAACCAGACCCCTAGTATAATTAGTCTAAAAATACATATCGAAAAGTATTTACAAATTTTAAACCCATTGTATGTAAAAATACTGGATACAAATTTAATATTTTTACTCACTTATATGTTTAAAAATGTTTAGCAACATTCCAATATTTAAACATTTTGAGTGTAAAAATATAGATGTTGAAAGTGGAGATACATTTAAAGTGTTTAAAATTGTATACCAATATTTAAACTTACACACCTTCAGAATATATTACAACAAATATTTGTTTTAAATGATCTTTTATGGAATAGAAATTGTTATTTAGTAAAGTAACAGATTAAATAAATATAATAATAGTATTATGGAATTATGGGGTTTAATTAGGTTTATTAAAACCACCATTATAAAATTAGCAAACAAATTAATTTTTTCCGGTATTGTTGCACGGCGATCTGAAACTATTTAAAAAAGAAATAACTGATCTTCGAGAGATATTAATAAAACCATATACCTTTTGAGTTAATTGAGTGTTTCAATAAACTATAATGAATTTCCTTGGAATGATTTGACATGGGATCGGACCACTACCACATAATCTGGCAGAGTTTCGGTCTTTGTCATACCCCGGTTATTGGAAAGGTCCATTCGGGATGCACGTGTGACGGATGTTGTTCTCTAAGAGTGCGTCGAATGAATAAGAAGTGTGCTGGGTTGTATGGTGGTGGATGAAAGGTATCTTAAGCAAGTGATACCATTGAGTTTTCCTTCCTTGTCCAGGTATGTTTAGGGTTTACTCTGTTCATACCAGATTTGCCACAGTATGTTCTCCGAGAATAAGAACAAGTCCTCATCTTCTTTGATGGTTCCGGTTTGTCGACTCTCAACAGAGGCCATCCCGTCTGCGTGGCTGTAAGCGGAAGTTATGTTTTTGCATTTCGGAAGTTAAGTAAAGAGGCAGCCATTGTCAGAGATTAGATATCTAAGTAGAACCATGTAGAAAAATGGCCCCCTTCCAGAGACTTGCGCCGATTCGGCTTAAGCCGACTAAGCCTAGCCGCCGAACAAAATGTCAAAGCCGCCGCCGCCGAAAATTTTTCAGCTTAATACGGCTTGAAAATTTCTCCATATTTTGTACAATTTACAGAAAACTTTCGCTAAATTTATGGAATTTTACAATATAAAATTAATTTGTTTGCATTTAAGCAAGTTTTCTTTCATCTAATAATAAGCCGCTCATTGAAATTTGACCGGTGGTGTAGAACTTTGCTCAACGTTCGATGTATATGCTTCGCCTCAGATATTTTCGTGTTTTACGCGCCTAATTCGAGTCGCTGCTTTTACTTCAAACCAACTTCGTTGGCGTCAACGGAGCTACACCTTTTTACATTGCTGGTATGTCATACCGATTGAGAAGAAAAGTTTATTTTTTTTAATACAATACTTTTAATTGTTGCAGATCTGCCACCACTGAATGCACCCAAGGCGAGTCAAGTGAAGAAAAAATAATCAACTGATTGAATAACACCACCTCAAATAAGGTGGTCGCCTTGATAATACCTTGGCAATACTACTTTACATTAACAGTTGATAGATTGTGTATTAAATAGAGAGAACAGCAACCCAGGGTTTCGGAGTTGTTTTCGGAGAGAATTGTGATCGCTCTCTCATTGAGAGAAGAAAAGTTTATTTCGCTGCTTTTACTTCAAACACTTTGTAAGTGTTTGTAGCAAACACGAGATACGAAAAATACATTGCTGTTTGACAAACCAAAGTTTCCTAAGTCGTCAAACCAATGTATTTAAATGGGACATCAAACAAAATCTGTTTGAAGGAAAAATTCTGCAATTTTTTGCGCGCAGTTGCATGTTTTCGCGCCAATTTTTAGCAAATTCTTTTTTATCATGTTCTGCATTTTACATACATTTTGAGTTTGTAACAAACGCAGAACGTGTTAAATTTTGAAATTTTTTTGAATTCTTTTAAAAAAATTATAAAATATATATAATTTGGAAATAACATTAATTGTTTATTGAAGAGTATAAAAGTATTTTTAGTATTTTACTAAAAATATTGATAGATTTGGCCTGTTGTTTGTGAGATCTAGAAGAATATTAAAAAATGTAAGTACATTACATGTTAAATAATTAATTATTCGTCTCTTATATTAGAGAAAGAAAGAGAAGGCATCATGAGGGTCTCGTGGAAGAAGTCCCACTCTCTTGGAGAGTGGCAATTGTATATGTCCTCCTAGGAGGCTAGTGGTGACATGGTATATTATCACCTAGAGGCAATGAACGGAAGCTGATTGCCGTATTCAGGGGGTATCCTTGGGATGCATACTTATTATTATACCATTGATCTCAGCAGAATTACTAACATACACCCATAATAGAGCGCGATGTCTGTCAGGTGTGCCTTTCAGTGAAGCTCTTGTTGTCTCCAAACACTATGGTGGCCGAATATTTACAAGAAACAATTGTTAAGCCGCCTTTTATACAAATTTATAGCTTTGTAGAGAATGTCTTCACGGACCTAGAGGATATAACTTGGCTAGGTATGTAGATGTTGTTTGGGCAAAATATTGGTACTAACCATTGTGGGCTTTATGTCGACTTTAGATCCCTTATAGTTGTCACACTATACCAAATAAGCATTCTTGCTGGAATTAAAGTTTAAAACAAGTTTAATTCCAGTCAAACATTCAAATTTCAAGTGTTGAAATACACTTTCATTATACTTTAATTCAATAGCATTCTCCAGTGTAAACGAAACTTGAATTCAAGTCGAACATTACAATGTTTTTACAGTATAATTCAATGCACGAAATCTATATACATACATACGTATGTATATAAAATTCTAACGTTACTGACTGACTGACTGATTCATCATCGTAGAGCCTAGAGCCTTGAAGCTAAAGAGCTGAAATTTGGTTGGTTTGGTTGGTCTCCCCCCAAATGTATCCAATAAGACGGGATTTTTGAAAATTCGAATTTTTTGGGGGTTAAAAAGGGTAAAAACGTGAATTCGGTAACCTCAAATATCCCAAACTAGAAAAGTTACAAAAACAGTTGAAGCTTATCGTCGTTCATTTAAAAAAAGCGGACAGGTATCCGGTAATTTTTTCAAATTCGGCCCCTTTGGGGAATAAACGGGTAGAAACTGTAATTTGGTACTTCTTTTGCACCCCATGTATCTTTTAAACCAGAGAACATTCAAAAAATATTTTTGAATCCTTCATAACTTGACGAACAAATAAAAATATGAATTTAGTACTTTTTGGATATTCGGACGTTTAAGAGGTGAAAATTGTACCTATTTTTGGTACTTTTTTATAAAAAATTGTTTTTGGTTTATTAACTTATACATATGAATACATAATAACGGGCTCCCAATACGATGTTGCAACTGGTACTTTTTTGACTTAGAACTTAGAAACATGTAATTAAGCACTTGAGAATCTATAAAAATGGACTTTTTGGTACTTTTTCGTTCTTCAAAAGGTACTTTTTGAGTTTTCTATTAAATTGAACATAAAAACATGAAATTATGCACGTAGAGCCTGGAGTAAATGTGAATCTATAAAATGGTACTTTTTCGTTCTTTGACTGCTACTATTTGAGCTTGCTACAAAATTTGAACCTGGAAACATGAAATTATGCACTTAGAGCCTGGAGTAAATGACAATCTATAAAATGGGAACTTTAACGTACTTCGACTGGTACTTCTTGAGTTTTCCATAAAATTAAACCTAGAAACATAAAAATAAATATGTAGAGCCCGGAGTAAATTATAATCTATAAAAAGGGACTTTTTAGTACTTTTTCGTTCTTCGACTGGTACTTTTTGAATTTTTTATAATATTGAACCTAGAAATATGAAATTAAGAATGTACAGCCCGGATTAAGTGATAACATATAAAAGGGGACTTTTTGGTACTTCTTCGTTCTTCAAAAGGTATTTTTTGAATTTTCTATAATATTGAACCTATAGACATAAAATTAAACCTGTAGGGCATGGAGTAAGTGAGAACATATAAAACGGGACTTTTTGGAACTTTTTCGTTCTACAAGTGGTTCTATTTGAATTTTCTATTATAATGAACCTAAAAACACAAAACTAAGCAA